TTACAAAAAAAGTAGAACAAAAAATCATTAGATTTGTATGGAACCACAAAAGATCCTGAATAATCAAAGCAAATATGAGAGGAAAAAAAAGAATGAAGCTGGAGGTATCACATTGCCTGATTTCAAATTATACTGCAGAGCTACAATAACCAAAACAGCATAGTATTGGCAGAAAAACAAACACACAGACCAATGAAACAGAATTGAAAACCCAGAAATAAAAGCGCATGTTTAGCCCTAGCTGGTATGGCTTAGCTGGTTGGAGCATCATCCCATACACCAAAAGGCTGGGGGTTTGATTCCTGATCAGGTCACATACCTAGATTGTGGCTTCAATCCCTTGTTGGGACCCATATGGTAGGCAACCAGTTGATGTTTCTCTCTCTCACACTGATGTCTGTCTGTCTCTAAAGTCAATAAACATATTTTTAATTATAAATAATTATTTATATATATGGGCACACATATATATGGGCAAATAATTTTTGACAAAGGAGCCAAAATCACACAATGGAGAAAAGAAAGCCTCTTCAGTAAATGGTACTGGGAAAATTGGAAAGCCACATGTAGAAGAATGAAAGTATATTACAGTTTGTCCCTAACACAAAAATTAATTCAAATGCATGAAGACCTAAGTATAAGATTTGAAACAACGAATGGGACTATGTCAAACTAAAAAGCTTGTGTAGAGCGAAACAAACTGCCAACGGAACAAAAAAGCCACCAACTAAATGGGAGATGATATTTGCATACAAGAGTTCTAATGAGGGGTTAATATCCAAAATATATAAAAAACTCATACAGCTCAACACTAAACAATCCAATTAAAAAAATGATTAGAGGATCTGAACAGATGCTTTTCCCAAGAAGACGTACAAATCACCCACAGATATATCAGAAGATGCTCCACTTCACTAGCTGTTAGGGAAATGCAAACCGAAACTACAATGAGATATCATCTCACACCTGTTAGAATGGTTGTTATCAACAAGACAAGAAAAACAAGTGTTGCAGAGGTTGTGGAGAAAAAGGAACCCCTATTCAATGCTAGTGGGACTGCAAATTGGTACAGCCATTATGGAAAACAGTATAGAGGTTGCTCGGAAAATTAAGAATTGAGTTACCATTTGACCAGGCAACCCCTCTTCTGAGTATCTGCTCAAAAAATGCAAAAACACTTATTTGCAAACATATATGCACTCCTATGTTCATTGTAGCATTATTCATGGTGGCCAAGACATGGAGACAATCAAATTGTCCTTGATAGAGGACTGGATAAAGGTGCGGCATGTATATACAATGGAATATTACTCAGCCACCAGAAGAGATGAAATACTGCTATTTGTGACAACTTGGGTGGACCTTGAGAATATTATGCTAAGCAAAATAAGTCAGACAGAAAAAGCCAAGAACCTTATGAATTCACTCATATGTGAGATATAAAAATGAAACTGATAGACACAGACAACAGTATGGTGGTTACCAGAGGGAAGAGGGTGAGAGGGTAGTGAAGGGTAAAGGGGACCAAATATATGGTGTCAGAAGATGATTTGACTTTGGGTGGTGGGCACACAATGCAATATACAGATCATGTATCATCGAAATGTACAAGTGAAACCTATATGGTTTTATTAACCAATGTTACCCCAATAAATTAAAAATCTTTAGCTTACTATGAACAAAAATTATATTAGTCTTTGTCTCTTCTTCCCCATGGGGGTATAAAACACCTCCATAGTACTTTTTAGGATCCAAGTGCAAGTCATAATAATTATTTTTGTTAAACTTCATCTTACTCAGTTGGCAGCTTATTTCTAGACTGTCAAGAACATTAAGTTTTCTGATTCTATTTAATGTAGTCATTATACCATCCAATATATGTTATTCACATGCTCAATGAACATGTGTTATACATTTTCATTGATAATTCGGATAAAGATAACCTAGAAGGCCAAGGACATACTCCTGCAGCTTATCACCTGAAACATTTCAGCAGGTCAACACATTAATCATTAGCCTTTAGAACATGAGCCATTTAGAACATGAACAGTTTCTAATTTACCCAGTTGTCCATGAGTACTTTTCATATTGCCTCAACTTTTGATAACCATTGTCTTATATCCATTGATATAAGATATAAGATGACCACGTCTATATCCATTGCCTCAACAATGGATAAAGACAGAGAAGCAGTAGGCTTGGTTACTCATACCAAGGAGTTTATACACTATCTACAGACAATGAGGATCTATTTTAGGAGTTTTTAAGAGGGTGGGAAATGGGCAGAGTCTTATATTAATGGGTCTGTGCAACCTCCTTATATTTGTCATGCATTAAATGTCCTTTTTTCTTTTGAATACATTTTAAAATATATATACATGTATATCAAATCATCATATTGTGCATTTTTTAGAATTTTATTTTTTAGTTACAGTTTACATAGGTGGTATTTTATATTAGTTTCAGGTGTACAGCATAATGGTTAGGTAATCATATACTTTACAAAATGGTCCCAATATATCTAGTACCTGTCTGGCAGCATACATAGTTATTACAATATTGTTGACTATATTCCCTATGATGTAATTTGCATCCCTGTGGCTGTTTTATAACTACCAATGTGCACTTCTTAATCCCTTCAACTCTTTCTCCTAGCCTCTAAATCCTCCCCTTTCGGCAGCCATCAGCTTGTTCTCTATATCTACTAGTCATTTACACTTTGTTTGTTCACTTATTTTGTTCTTTAGATTCCATGTATAAGTGAAATCTTTTGGTATTTGTCTTTTTCTGACTGACTTATTTCACTTAGCATAAGATGGTCTAGGTCCATCTATGTTGTCACAAATAGTAAGGTTTCATTGTTTTTTAAGTCCAGGTAACATTCCATTGCATATATGTACCACACCTTTTTTTACCCACTCATCAATTGATGGGTACTTGGGTTGTTTCCATAGCTTGGTGATTGTAAATAATGCTGTGGTGAACATAGGGGTGCATATATTCTTTCAAACTAGTGTTTTGGGGTTTTATGGGTAGACAGAGGCTGGCAAAAGTAGGTTTACAGTTGTGAGTACATGAAACACAGGGTTTATTATTGCATTATTTATTTATTATTATATCATTTATTTGTACTTGCCGCGGTCCAGCCGCAGCGGGTCTAAGGGTCCCCTCAAGGTGAAGGTAGGAGTCGGCGCAGAAATCAGGCAACTATGCAACTCAAGGCAGGTGATGCTCTGAAGACCTTTATTGAAAGTAAGGCTGAAGCTTTTATACTATTCTAGCTGACAAGCGATTTCAGCTGGCAAGTGATTTCGGATTCGTTGGCTTTTGCAGTTACTGTTACTATGCTTTTTGGTCTGAACAGGAACTTGGCTGTCTGCCTTGGTTAGGCTGTCGCAGGGGGCCTATTCTTATTCTGCATTTTAGATATGTCTAAAATTGACTCGGGGGGTAAACATGCCCTCCATGCCACGTCCACCAGGTTGGAAAATGCTTCTTTGAAGTCTTGAACCTCCCCTCCTGACTTTGTCAAGGAAGGGATCCAACTGTGGACGTGGCATGTACTATTTGTTATTTCGCTCACTCACAACTGTAAACCTACCTTTGCCCACACCTGTATACCCAGAAGTGGAATTGCTGGGTTATAAGCAGTTCCATTTTAATTTTTTGAGGAATCTCCATATTGACATTGCACATCTTAAACATATACAATTTTATTTGTCAATTATATCTCAATGAAGCTTCACGCACCCTCTTCACCTGGTGTGCCTACCTTGTCCTCACTGCTTTCACCAGGACAATTCCTATACATCTTTCACATTTAACTTTAAATGTTTGTATGAACTCACATACTTTCACTAAAATATTTTATCAAAGATACATATACACCATTATATATTTAACATGTTCCATGTCCACCTATAGCCTTCCCTTCCCATTTCCAATGAGAATTATTGGCCTTTATATGTAGAAATTCTATTTCTCATAGAGTTTCTGCCTTTCAAGAACTATTCTTTCGGTCTTCTCACTTCACTCATTATCAGTAGCAACTACTTCAGAGATCTGTTTTTCTCTCTTTTTTGTATTTGGCACTTAACATTCCTTTCAGTTGACATTCATCAAATGTAATGGTTACTCTAAAGGAATTCTTTGTCCTCTTGGTACTATTGTATTAGGAGAGAAATTAAATACTAATTAGGTTTTCACTTTTTAGTTTTCTTAATGGTAGCCATTCTAACAAATGTAAGGTCATCATTAATAAATCAAACAAGTGTTGGAGAGGATATGGAGAAAAGTGAACCCTAGTGCACTGTTGGGAATGCAGACTGGTGCAGCCACTGTGAAAAACAGTATGGAATTTCTTCGGAAAACTAAAAATGGAACTGCCTTTTTATTCAGTGATTTCACTGCTGGGATTATACTCTAAGAGCCCTGAAACACCAATTCAGAACTTACGCAGCCCTAGTTTATAGCAGCGCTATTTAAAGTAGCCAAGTGCTGGAAACAGCCTAAGTGCCCATCAGTAAATGAGTGGATCAAACAACTGTGGTACATTTACACAATGGAATACTATGCAGCAGAAAGAAAGAACGAACTATTACCTTTTGTAACAACATGGATGGAACTGGAGAGTATTATGCTTAGTGAAATAAGCTAGTTGGTAAAAGACAAATACCATATGACCTCACTTATAACTGGAATCTTATAAACAAAATAAACTAATGAGAAAAATAGAACCAGAGTTATGGAGACATGGAACAGACTGATAGCTGTAGGAGGAGGGTGAGAGAGAGGAGAATGGTGGAAGGAAGGGTAAGGCACTAGTCAAAGAACAGATATGAATGATCCATAGACATGGACAATGGAGAAGGGATTGACTTTGGAGAGGGGGGTGAGCTGGGTGGAGGGGGACAAAAGGGAAAAATTGGGACAATTGTAATAGAATAAGCAACAAAAAAAACCTTTTCACTTTTTGTTTTCATTTCCATTCACATTCATAGGTTCCAGTTTCAGTGGGATCTCCTTTTTCAGTGAAACCTCAATCCGTGATTTATAACCAACCAGGCTTAGGGCCCAGAATATTTCCACTTTATCAACCAGAAATAAGGTACGTTTGAGTTGTTCCTTAGGGCCTTGGTAGAGATGTGCAGTCACTGGAGGCAGGACCAGTGTTAGAACTGAGTTTTTACAATACATACATCTTTTTTGCACTGTTGATCTCTCATAGCAGAAAAACTAGTTCTAACATTTTCATTATCATAGAAAGACATAGACCTGTGCAGACCTGGTCCTCTGCAAACTTGTGTCATTAAATGTCAACTGGGTCCTGGTAGCTACTCAGCAGTTCTTTTATTCATTCAACAAAACCAACTGTGATCAGTACCTGTGAGGCGAGTAACTCAGCCTGGAGGTTTCAAGGACAACTTCCCAAAGAAGTGATACCTAAGTTGAATACTAAGATTTAAAATAAATAGCGAGTCAATAGAGTAAGGAAAGGATATTCCAGACAGACATATGAACAGATAGAAAAGCACAAAACACCATGGGAAGTCGAAGGAGGGAATAATTAATTCAGGGATGGAAGGTTTGGGTATGCAATGAGTATCAAATGATGAGAATCTCAACTAGTGGATGTATATACGATAGGAGTTTGGCATTACAGAGAAAATAGATTGAGCATATAAGTGAAAGAAGGCAGTGGTAACATGGATGAGTATAGCTGAAGCATGTGGGAGATTATCATGATCCAAATGTTTATTGATTCAGAGTGCTGTTTTCTAGAAGCCTTTTTAAAAACATTTTATTTATGTATTTTTAGACAGAGGGGAAGGAAGGGAGAAAGAGGGAGATGGATATCACTGTGTGAAAGAAACATTGATTGGTTGTTTCTCATACTCCCCCAGCTAGGGACTGGGCCTGCAACCCAGGCATGAGCCCTGACTGGGAATTGAACTGGCCACCTTTTGCTTTTCATGATGATGTACAGCTAATGTATTGGGCCCCCTGGTTCCTAAATGTTTGTTTTAGGAGGCCTGACCCCCCAATGAGAGGATTGGCCAGAGTTTTGTGTGTAATATTTATGATTTATTTTGTAACTGTGGAGAAAAATATGGAGAAATGATGACAGGTTTATATGTATATCTTTCATGCAGGGACAATCTATGTGGAAGTATCGAAGAAAAAATATTTGAATTTAGACGTAAAAAAAGTGATGACCTCTCTACAGCCTCATCCACATCTTCCAAGTAATATAAACATTAGATCCTCTTGAGATTCTTCAGTTTAATGTTTTGGAGATGATACACTGTATTTCTTTTGTTTTATTAGCTATCCTTCAAAATTTTCAAAAACTTAATTTTCCCTCTTAAGGAACCCCAGGACCTTAGAACACTTGTAAATTACAAGGGCATTTCTAACCAACTTGTATGCTATTGTGGTGAAATATTTTAGACCTGTGAAATTAAAAGTATTGGTATTTATAGAAACTTTTGTTTAGACTTAACTATGTGTTTAGAAAATGTTTGTTTACCATCTCTTTTTGCATTGGAATCATTTCCCTCTTTCTGAAGTACATCTTTTAGAAGTTTATTTAGTTTTTTGTGTTGGTTATAAACTATTTGTGTTTATGTGAAAATATATTTCTTCATACACATTTTAGAAATAAATTTTAAGTTGATATACACATACAAGCTCTATAAACATTCTTGTATGAGTCTTCTTGTGGACAATTGTGGATATATATCTTAGATAAATGGTAGAATGGCTGGGTCACATAGTAAGTGTTTGTCTAAAATGAAAACTGCCAAGACCTGACTGGGTGGCTCAATTGGTTGGAGCATCATCCCATACACCAAAATGTTGCAGTTCCATCCCCAGTCAGGGCACATACCTAGGTTGCAGGTTTGATCCCCAGTTGGGGCATGTATGGGAAGCAATTGATTGATATTTCTCTCTCTCACTTTCTCTGTCTCTCTTTCTCTAAAATCAATAAATATGTCCTTGGTTGGAGATTTAAAAAATTAAAACAAAACTGCCAAAAAAATTTTAAAACTATACCACTTTATCCCACCAGCAATGTATGAGAATTCTAGGCACTCAAAGTTCTGGTCAGAATAAAAAATAATAATAAATATTAATTTACTGCTGTTAATATTGTAAATTTTGGGCATTCTAGTGGCTTTCTAGTAATATAACATGTGGTTTAATTTACATTTCCATGATGTAAACAACCTTTCTCATACTTATTGGCCATTTCAATATCTTCTTTTGAAGTGTTGTACTATTTTGTCCATCTTAATGATTTTCTTTGTTTTTGTTTATTGATTCATAGATTTTATATATTCTGAATATTAATTCTATTAGATATTTATGGAAATAATTTCTCCTAGTCTGTGACTTGCCTTTTCATTTTGTTAATGGTATCATTCAATGAGTATATATTTTCTAATTTTGAAGTTCAATTGATCAAGTTTTTTATGATTAATTCTTTTTATATCTTCAGAAATACTTGTTTATCCCAACATCATAAAGATATTCTCCATTCTTTTCTAGAAACTCTGAAGTTTTAACTTTTATGTTTGGATCTATGGTCCATATAAAATACATTTTTAGCCCTGGGTGGTGTGGCTTAGTGGATTGAGCACCAGCCTGTGAACCAAAGGTTCACCAGATGGATTCCCAGTCAGGGCACATGCCTGGGTTCCAGACTGGGTCCCCGGTGGGGGGGAATGTGAAAGGCAACTACACATTGATGTTAAAAAAAGATTTAAAAAATACATTGTGATGTTTTTTTTTATTGTTGTTCAAGTACAGTTGTCCGCATTTTCCCCTCACTACTCCCCTCCACCCCAGCCATCTCCACCTCCCACGCTCAGTTCTACCCCCCTTTGGTGTTGTCCATATGTCCTTTATACATGTTCCTGAAAACCCCTCACACTTTTACCCCTTTATTTCCTTCCCACCTCCTCTCTGGTTACTGTCAGTTTATTCTTAATTTCAGTATCTTTGGTTATGTTTTGCTTGCTTGTTTATTTTGTTGATTAGGTTCTACTTAAAGGTGAGATCATATGGTATTTGTCTTTCATGGTCTGGCTTATTTCACATTATACCCTAAACACCAATATACCCTGAAACACCAATCCAAAAGAACCTACGCACTCCAGTGTTCATAGCAGCACAATTTACAGCCAAGTGCTGGAAGCAACCCAGGTGCCCATCAGTAAATGAGTGGATCAAAAAACTATGGTATATTTACATGATGGAATACTACACAGCATCTTTATGTTTCATGACGAGTAAGAGTAGTGATTTACTTTTTCATATAGTTATCTAGTTGTTCCTGAAACATTTGTGAAAAACAAATTTCTTTCTCTATTTGTTACCTTGGTACATTTCTCAAAAATCAGTGGATAACATGGGGATGTAATATATAACATAAGAAATATTGTCAGTAATAACTGTATATAGTGACAGATGACTACTAGACTTATTATAGTGATCACTTTGCAAGATACATAAATGTTGAATCACTGTGGTACACATGAAACTAACATTGTTTATCAACTATAATTAAAAACAAAATTTTAAGAAGACATCAGTGAATTGAGGGATGTTTGGGATGGCTGAATAATAAAAATTCCATGTGGAGATAACAAATAAAATAAATATAAATAATGAGAGGATTTTTTAAAAGCAGCCGCAGAAACAATAAACTAGTCAGTATGTGTGGTTACAGGGTCTTTTTTGTGAGGAGTCAGATCATTATTATATGTGTGACTTTGATTTCATTAAATCAGAATTCCCACATATGGCATTAATTCGCAAGTTAAAATTTTAAAAAAAGATTTGTTTTCCTTCTAGACACACACACACACACACACAGGCACACACCAATTGACAATATATTTATTGGTCTATTTTTTATTTTGTTTTGTTCCATTGATCCAAACCTCTCTCCTTAATCTAATAAAACATTGTCTTGATTACCATAGTTTTCTGTAGGTCTTCAAATCAGGTGGTATTAGCCTTCCATGTATATTCATATTTTTCAAGATTATTTTAGGTATTCAGGTTGTCTTTGAATTCCATAAAAATATTACAACCAGCTGGTCAATTTCTGTGGAAAAAGAAACCTGATTGGTACTACATTGAATCTACAATTAAATTTGGAGAAAATAGACATAGATATCTTTAAAATATCAGTACTTCCACGTCATGAACATGGCATAACCATTTATTTATTCTGGCATTTCTAATTTCTCTCCATTGATTTAGAGTTTTTAATGTTTACTAGTATATTTCATTATATAACTGCTGGTAAAGGCTGACTGAAACTTTATGTTTTATTCTTTTTTAAGATTTTATTTATTTATTTTTAGACCGAGGAAAAGAGAAGGAGAAAGAGAGAGAGGGAAACATCAATGTGTGGTTGCTTATTACATGCCCCCTACTGGGGACCTGGCCCACAACACTGGCATTTGCTCTGACTGGGAATCTAACCAAGGACCCTGTGGTTCTCAGGTCAGTACTCAATCCACTGAGCCACACCAGCCAGGGCAGACTGGAACTTTACTTCTAAATCATATTTTATTGTTTATGTTATTATAGTTGCCCCAATTTTACCCCCTTTGCCTCTCTCCACCTAGCCTTCCCACTCCCTCAGGCAATCCCCACACTGTTGTTTGTGTCCATGGGTCATGCATATATGTTCTTTGGCTAATCCCTTCACCTTCTTTCATCCAGGCCCCTTCCACCTTCCCCTCTGACAGCTGTCAGTCTATTCTAGGTTTCTATGCCTCTGATTTTATTTTGCTCATTAGTTTGTTTTGTTTATTAGATTACAAATATAAGTGATATCATGTGGTATTTGTTTTTCACTGACTGGCTTATGTCACTAACATAATAGTCTCCAGGTACATTCATGCTATGGCAAAAGGAAAGAAGGAAAGTTCCTTCTTTTTTATAGCTGCCAGTATTTTGTTTTGTAGATGTACTACAGGTTTTTTAATCCATTCATCTACTAATGGGCACTTACAAAACCCTATATAGACTCCATCAAAAATTTACTAGACCTAATAAATGAATTTGGCAAAGTTGCAGGATACAAAATCAATACTCAGAAATCAATGGCATTTTATACACCAACAATGAACTATCAGAAAGAGAAACTAAGAGAACAATCCCATTTACTATAGCAACAAAAAAATAAGGTACCTAGGAATACATTTAACCAAGGAGGTAAAAGACCTTTACCCAGAAAAGTATAGGGCACTGAAGAAAAAAATTGAGGAAGACACAAGTAAATGGAAGCATGTACCATGTTCATAGATTAGAAGAATTAACATCATTATGATGTCCATACTACTCAAAGCAATCTATAGATTCAACACAATTCCTCTTAAAATACCAATGGCATATTTCACGGGTGTAAAACAAATATTTCAAAAATGTATACAGAACCAAAGAAGGCCCTGTATAGCCTCAGCAATCTTGAGAAAGAAGAACAAAGTTGGAGGGATCACAATTCTGACATCAATCTATACTAGAAGGCCACTGTAATCAACCAGCCTGGTTGTGGCACTGGCATAACAGCAGGCATATAGGTCAGTGAAATAAAACAGAGAGCCCAGAATTAGACCATGTGTTTATGGTTAATTAATATTTGACAAAGGAGACAAGAGAATACAATGCAGTAAAGACAGTCACTTCAATAAGTGGTGTTAGGAAAACTGGACTAGTACATGCAAAATATGAAACCAGACCACCAACTTACACCACACACAAGAATAAACTCAAAATGGATGAAAGACTTAAATGTAAGTTGTGAAACCATAAAAATCACAGCAGAAAACACAGGCAGCCCTGACCACTGTGGCTCACTTGAACATCGTCCCACGAAAGGTCGCAGGTTCAATTCCCAGTCAGGGCACATGCTTGGGTTGTGGTTCAGTCCCTGGTCGAGGTATGTTTGAGAGGCAACTGATCAATGATTCTCTCACATTGGTATTTCTCTCCCTCTCTTTCTTCCTCCTTTCCCCTGTCTCTAAGAAGAAGTAAATAAAATCTTTAAAACTTAAAAAAAGAAAACATAGGCAATAAAATTTCAGCTATCTCATGTAGCAATACTTTCACCGATATATCTCCTAGGGCAAGGGAAACAAACAAACAAAATAAACAAATGGGACTACATCAAATGGAATAGCTTCTGCACAGCTAAAGAAAACATCATCAAATAAAAGCAAGCCCACTGTATGGGAGAACATATTTGCCAGTGACACATCTGATAAGGGTTTGATTCAACACCAGGAAGACAATCCAGTTAAAAAATGGGCAAAGGGCCTGAATAGACACTTTTCCACAGAGGTCATACAGATGTCCCATAGACATGTAAAAAAAATGCTCAACATCACTAATCATCAGAAAGATACAAATTAAAACCACAGTGAAGCCCTGGCCCAGAAGCTCAGTTGGTAAGAGTGTTTTTCCAATATATCAAGTCTGTGAGTTTTGATCCCTGGTCAGGGCACATACAAGAATCAAGCAATGAATACATAAATAAAAATATAAAATAAAACCTCAATGAGATAGCACCTCACAACTAACATAATCAGTCTGGGGGGAGGGGTCTATAGGAAGAACTAGGGCTTATGGGAGGAGTTCTCAAACTTTAGTAATTGTGAGAACCATACAGAAAGAACTCGATGTTTATAATAAAATTCTATGGTTTTAAATTCCCCTTCCCTTGACTCCCTTTTCCCTTCTATCAATACTCCTTGTCAACGAATGATCATTGGCGCTAATTCAACACCAATAACAATCCAAAATTTGTGGTGCAGTGAAGAAAGAAACTTCATTCAATGCAAAAATCTCAATTGTGATGCAGCGTGGCCGGGCTCAATAGTATTACAGCTCAGTTTGGAAGCGGTTCGGCTGTTTACCAGCACAGCTGTTAGGTGGCCCTTGGGCCAGGCCCATTTCTAGCTAGACAGCTCTGCTCTGGTCTGCTCCACCTCCTCTTGTCCAGTCCAGTATGCTCTGCACTGGTTTGCTTTACTCTGCTCTTTTTATGTTCCACTCTTCACCAGCAAGATGTGTTGGGTGTTTCAGCTCCAGCAGAAGAAATGCAGTTTTCTTCACATGAAAGGGAAAGTGCACTCCCTAAGACAGAGGGGAGGTGCATTGTATAGACAGAAGTCCTTGCCTCTGGTCCCTGATTGGTCCTTCCTCATGCAAAAGAGGACTTCAGATTCTCATTCTGAGTCCTCCAAAATGCACTGTCTTGATTGGTCAGAAAGGAGCCACTCTTGATTGGTCAGCGAAGATGCTGATGTGGTGGTATAGCTGCGCAGCTCTGATTGGGAAAGACTCAGTCCTGTTGCTTAAAATAAGAGTTTAGGAACTCCTTTATAAGGGCTGGCTCAGATGGCAGAAACATAGTGGAGAGAGGCAATTCAGTGCAGGAGGCAGGTAGCTTGGTGCAGGTGAGGCAGGATATAGCATAGGAGGAAATCTGAGACAGCGCCGCTCTTACTGGCCAGAGTCTAGCATCCTGGTTGCCAGGATACACCTTTTATCACGTAGGCAGAATGAATAGCAAACCAAGGCAAGGAGGAGGAGGAAGATATGTGTCACCCGCTAACTCATCAGTCCTGAGCCTGGTCCAGTGTTGCCAGGTGTTCCAACATCACAAGGAACACTATGTTTGCAAAAAAGGAGGGAAGTCCTTGGAATTCAATGTAGCATTTCCTCGGAAAACCTTGTCTGGGAAAGCCTTGAAACTGTGCTTTCATCCCAAGGCCTGAAATGTGGGAGAGAGTCTGCAATGCCCAAAGAAGAAGGTCATAAATAGCTTTGGGTACTGCCCCAACTTTAATTAACTGCCTCCTGTCATGTATCTGTTTTACAAGAAAGATGAACAAATGCAGTCTGGAGCAAGATAAGGATTCGGAGTAACAGACCCCCACACATACCTAAGTTTGGGTAGTCACGTCCCCCTGAGAAAGCTGGCACCATGTTTACCTGCCAGTAAATATGTAACATTTTTTTACCACCATCCTGCCAACTATATAAGTCCTCAGAACAAAGGACTCATTCTCTTGGCTCTTTGGTCACCTGGCCTCAGGCCACTCAGGAGCTTGCCACCCTGGCCTTCAGCTGCCCTTACTTTGGCCACCCAGCTTTGCTCTGAACCTATGCCTTTCACCTTCCCATCCTAGCTAGGCTCATTTTATTCCATGGGAACAGGTTACTAATAGACTCTCATTACATGCTAATAGATTTGCTGGTCTGTACTTCTTTACATGTGTCAATAAGATGAACCAGGTTTCTCCCATCAACACTGCCTTCTCCATGAAGTGCAGTTTGCATGAGAAGCCCTTGTATAGAAAGTGCTACTAAACTCTGTGTTTTTGTTTGTTTTTAAAAATTTGAGCCCAGTTAGCCACCAGGAGACCTTCTTAGTAGGTATCTTTTTTCCTCAGGGCTCTTGGCATGCAGGCCACAGTGTGCATGTGGTTTGCTGTGTTCACAAACACTGGGTTGCAACCCTCCCCCTTTGTCCCTAATAAATCCTTTTAGTCAGTCATTCAGCCTCTCCTCTCCATCCATTTAATTACTCCGTCTGTCCCTCTGTCCATTCCTAAAGTCCTGCCTGCTCTCCTCACTCCTACTGCACACTCTTCTTTCCAGACCTCTAGTCATGCCCCTCTTTCACTCCTACTGCCCCACCCACTTTACCCACTCCTGCCCATCCCTCCAGTCTTTCTCACTAGGCTACCTTTTCACCCCTCCGGCCCCTCCTCATCTCCCAGCTTCAAACTCTGACATTTCCCTGATTTGTTTCCTAAGTGTGTTTAGAGGACCCAGAACTGACACAGACTCCTTTTTGAATTCAGTGTAATGGTCTAGCCACAATAGGACCTTGTTATCCTTTGTCTCTGATTTAGTCTATCCCACTCCTTACTTCCTTCTCTCTCAAACTCCAGTCCCTGGTCTCTCCCCAGCTCATTAGCCTCTCCTTTATCCCCAGTCATCCTGCCCAGTCTGCCTTCCTCAGGCTTCCACTCAGCCCCACTCCAGTCCTCCAACCACTCCACTCTCTCCATTCTTTCAGCAATCCACACAATTCCCCTCGCTTATATCTCCTGCCTAAGCTGCTTTTTCAGTCACCAACCCCTCTCCATTTCCAAGTCCTCTCACCTCACCCTTCTTCCCATTTGTACACATTTGTAATTTACTGAATTTCCCTGTGTATATGTCTATTTCTGGATGTTCTACTTTATTCCACAGGTCTGTCTTCATGCCAAAAAGAACACTGGATTTAGAGATGAATTTGGGGGGCTCTTTCTGCTCTATCCCAGGACTTGCTGTGGGATTTTAGGCACATTCTGTTCTCTTTCTAGGCTTCAGTTTCACTGTCTGTAACATGAGAGGCTCCAACTAGATTATTGCTATTTCTAGCACTAAGATGGCCTTATACTGTTAGGAAGTAGAGAGTTTCTGCTGCAGCCTGCCTGCCTGCAACTCGAGGCATGGAGTTCTGGTTTCCCAGGTCTGACCTCTTCTTTAGCTCAGTGTTTGGGTGATTTTGGGTTCTTGGTTTTCCAGTCCAGGGTCTTATTTGCACCTAGCTTCATTTCTTTGGCCTCAAGAGGCTTTTCTCTGGTCCCTTTCTGATTCATATGGCATTCTACCATGAAAAAGTCACTTTATATGTGTGCTTATAAATACCAGACTGGAAGGATGTTGGGACGTTGCATGGAACAAAATAATGAAAGTAAAATAGTTTGGTCACTCTGTTATACAGGACAAGGGTCTCAAGGTTTGGGCTATTCTTACTAATGCTATTCTTGTTAATGTTAAAATGTAATGCAGTATTTTGCAGGCCAGCTTTAAACAGAATGAGCCTGACAGGAACACAGTCATAAATGCAAAGATCAAATCAACATGCAATTGACCAAATAGTGTATATAATCAATGTCTAAGGCTCCCTTTGGCAAAACAGAGCTTTGGATATGAATTCCGTCTCCTTTACTTGCTACAGTAAAACTATCTTGTGACAACCACCTCTCCTTCTTGAATAGAACACCCCAAGCAGCAAACAAACCCCTTGAGTTTGGTAATAGCCCTACTGTGTGGCAGGCAGTTATTAGGTATTTCACATGTATAACTTCTTTTAATCTTTTTTAAAATTAAATTTATTGGGGTGATGTTGGTTAATAAAATTATATAGGTTTCAGGTGTACAATTCTATATTGTCTATCATCTGTTTATTATATTGTGAATTCACCACCCCAAGTCAAGTCTCCTTCCTCATTAATCTTTACAACAGCCTTGTCGGTACACATTCCCATTTTAAAGTGTGACTTAGGTGGTGTTTTCCACCTATGTTCCCTTCCTACCCAATATGTGACTATTATAACATTTATCCTAGTATCTTACAAATGATTCATTTTAAAGGCCCTTAGCTGTCTGTAAACTAGAGGTGATAGCAGTCCCTCTTATGCTGAGCTGTGGTGATTAAATAACGACTCAGCGACTGGCATGTAGTTAGTTTTTTAAAATTTATTGTTCAGTTATAGTTGTCTCAGTTTTTAAACACATTTTAATCACTTATTATTATATGTGTTCTCACTAAGGGAAGTGACATTTGCCCTTTATTCATAAAGGGCCAGGTTCCTGGTAAGGCATCATGTGAGTGGATGGAGTGCCACTTACCCTTTTAAGGGGATGAAGTCCCCTTAAAAGGCCAGCAAACTCGCTGGTATGGAGGGACCAGAGTCCTAGGGTGGCGTCTGTGTTCCAGTTTCTCTTGCATCCGGTCGTTGTGAAGGCCATCCGCGAGGAGGATGCCTCTTCTGGGGTGGGAGTGAGGTCCCATTCGGTCCCGGATTTCCAGGGTCCTCCAGCCCTGCCTACCTACAAAATTCCGGAGATCCCTTTTCCCAGGAGTCGAAATTGGTACTTCCCGCAGAGGCAGCTACTCCTACGCGGCCCTTCCGTACACGTCACTCACCTGCGCGCAGCCAATCGGCACCCACCGGTTGGGCCTTGAGGGCGAAGGGGCGGTTACTTCCTTCTTGCCTACAAAGCTGCGTACTCACAAGCGAGGGGCGGGTCTGTAGATATTAGCGAGCCAATCACGGGCCCCCCGGCGCCTGGCGACTGAAGAAGCGGTTAGTCGCGCGCTTTATTTCTCAAAATGGCGGCCGCTAGAGACGGTTGTGGCTTAGGAAAAGTGGCTGTAGGGAACGGGCGGCGGCTCCACTTAGGGATTCCTGAAGCCGTGTTTGTGGTAAGAGACATGCTGGTCTAGGCATCTTGACACTATGCCGCAATCCCTCCTTCCTGGCCCACACGCACACCCTTGTCTCGACTATTGGGGGAAAGAGTTGAGCTTAAAAAACCTGGGAGAGAACGCCCCTTCCCCTTTCTCCCTCCGAGCCTGGGCAGATTTAGCGGTGCTGGGACTCGCCCGGGGTAAAGTCAGTCCCAGAAGGCCCGAGAAGAAGGTCTGGGGCGACAGGACTCGGGAGCGAGGGGGCAACCGTCCCCTACCCCCGAATGCCAGGTTTCATCCCTTCAGACATGGAAAAGGGGAAGCTGTGAGAAGCTTGAGACTCAGCTTAGATGCTGGAGAGACCAACCGATAAATGGTGACTTGGATGTAATGAGTAGGCACAACGGCTGGTGCTCAAGTGTGAAAATGGGAAACGAAGCCTAGTTTGTTAAAGGAATGGAGTGAGCGTTCTGTTGCCTTAGAGGAGGAATGGGAAAAGAGAGTGATTGGAAAGTAGGATAGGATGAGAATGTGAAGTCCTTGTTTGTTCTGCTGAGGAATTGAGTCTTTATCCAGTAGACAGTGGGCTGTGTATAGAAGGTGTCTAAATAAAACCACAATATAATTGTTTTTGGTTTTGGGTACATCATTCTAAAAAGTTAGTAATTTGGAAACTCCTCAAAACAGCGAGACCAACCCAAGTCCAAACAAAAAAGTAGATGCATTCTTTTATCAGTCTATTCTAGAAATGGTATTTGAAAACTATTTGAATAACGAGAGAAAACGTGACTGGCCTTCCAGGCTAGTGTTATCTGTCTTTTCCCACTCAGTTCTGGTTAAGCTACAATAAAATCTTAATGGAATTTTCTTGACCTTTTGGTTTGTAACTTATATTGCCTTATCTCTACCTTTTTGTTAATCATATCTTACATGCTTCAAAAGACCCATTTCTTTTATTTAAACCCCTTTTATATACACTGTATGTTCCATATTTGTATTTGCTGATTCAGTTTTGTATTTATTTTCTTCAATTATTTTGTGTCTTTTCCTTGAGCGGTATTACTTATTTTGTTGCATTTATCTCCCAGCTAATGATAACAAGATACCTAATGCTTTGTAAGTCTAGAGAAGGTTGATACTGTAATTTGTACGTGATGAAACTGAGGCATGGAACTCTTGAGTAACTTGCCCCTAGCCACACTGGGTGTAAATGAGTTATTCATGATTCTGCTTACACATGTTCTGCCACTGGGAGGAAAAGGAGGTATTTATCTTGCTCACTGACATTTTCTCCTGGTCCTAGCACAGTGCCTAATAAGTAGTATAAATGCATGACTAGATGTCAAACTGCATTTTCATAATGTTTTAAATTCTACATTATGGTGCTCAGCTGGAGTTGGGTTTAAAAATCTAATTCAGTTTTTTAATTGGATTGTTCGTTTCATGTTGACTTGTATGAGTTCATATATTTTAGGAATTAACCCCTTGTTGGAGCTATTATTTACAAATATCATCTCCCATTTGGTTGGTTGCCTTTTTGTTTTGTTGGCAGTTTCTTTTGCTGTGCAGAAGCTTTGAGAACATTATGCTAAGTGAAATAAGTCAGAAAAAGATAAGAACTATATGATTTCACTTATGTAAGATATAAAACTGAAACTCATAGATACAGACAACAGTAAGAGTGGTTACCAGAGGGAAGGGGGTGGGTGTAGTAAAAGACAAAGGGGGGCCAAATATGTGGTGATGGAAGCTGATTTGACTTTAGGTGGTGGATACACAGTGCAAAATACACATCATACATCATAGAAATGTACACTTGAAACCTATGTGATACTATTAACTAATGTCAGCCCAATAAATTTAATTTAAAAATCTAATTCAGGAGGATAAAGTTCATTGGAGGGCTATGTAAAATCTGATAAAGATCTTAAAATACATTTTTCCCTAAAATATTTTAATACTTTATTTTATTGTATTTTTTCATTACCATTTATCCCCCTTATACCCTCTTCCATTTACCCCAGTCCCCTGCAGTCTCCACACTGTTGTCCATGTTCGTGAGTCCACTTTCCTTTTTGCTTCATACTGCACCCCCCACCCCCTCTAGAGCTGTCAGACCCTTAAAATTTTATGTTTTTTTAAGACTTAAAATTTCTACCAAGATGATAATTTTTTGCAATTATTTTAATGTTCCCAAACTAATGGGAATGGCATGGTATTGTAGGAAGAACATTGGCTTCTAAATAGACCGTGGTTTGAATCCTGCCTCTACTTCCCAATTGCTGCTTAGTCTTGAGCATATTATTATATTGCTTTGAGACTCAGTTTCTTTAACTGAACTAGGAATAATGATACTTAAAGTTGCTATGAGAAATAGGAAATGTACTTCCAGTATTGCAAGTTGATACTTAATATATAGTTGTCCCTCGGTATCCATGGGGATTTGGTTCCAGTGTCTACCTGCTTTCATATAAAATCCACAGATGCTCAAGTTCCTTCTATAAAATGGCATAGTATTTGTATTTAACCTACACACATGCACGTTCTCCCAGATACTTTAAATCACCTCTAGATTACATGTAATACCTAATACAATGTAAATGCTGTGTAAATAGTTGTCATATTGTTTAGGGAATAATTACAAATCTGTACATGTTCAGTATAGATGCAACCATTTTAGGGCTAATTACATAGTACACATCAGCAACAACATAACATTTTTTTCTAATATTTTCAAACTTTGGTTGAATCCAGGGATGTTGATGATGCAGAGCCTGTGGATGCAGAGGGCTAACTGTATATTAGTTTCTGTGATGATAGGAGGCAACATACCATACTGGGTAGAAGTCAGACCTCTTCCTTTTCCCATTTCCAGTGGTGCAGTCATTTGTTTTCTTTTTCTACTCGACTTTACTTTTTCCTGTTGTCCAGTTGCTGTCCTCTTCATCTCTCATTGTCCCATTCAGATATGACATCCCTGTAGTTTTTCCTGACCACACTATTCCAAGATGGAATTCTTGGCACTTTATTTGTTCTCTTAGCCCATTGTATTATAGACATAGCTAATGTTTGTTGAATGGTTATGAGCTTTCATATACTCTTCTAAGCATTTTACACAAGCTAACTAATTTTTTAAAAAATGTATTTTATTGATTATGCCATTATAGTTGTCCCATTCCCCCCTTCATTCCCCTCCACTCTGCACACCCCTCTCCCACCATTCCCCCCCCTTTAGTTTATGTCCGTGTGTCACAAGTTCTTTAGATTCTATATTTCCCACACTATTCTTGCCCTCCCCCCATCTATTTTCTGCCTACCATCTGTGCTACTTATTCTCTGTACCTTCTCCCCCCTTCTCCTCCTCCCACTCCACTGTTGCTAACCCTCCATGTGATCTTCATTTCTATGGTTCACTCCTGATCTAGCTGTCCTCTTAGTTTGCTTTTGTTTTAGGTGTGGTTGTAAATAACTGTGAGTTTGCTGTCCTTTCACTGTTCATATTTTTTATCTTCTTTGTATTAGATAAGTCCTTTTCACATTTCACATAATAAGTGCTTGGTGATGATGAATTCCTTGAACTTGACCTTATCTGAGAAGCGCTTTATGTGCCCTTCCATTCTAAATGAAAGCTTTGCTGGATAGATCAATCTTGGATGTAGATCTTTGGATTTCATGACTTGGAATATTTCTTTCTAGCCCCTTCTTGCCTGTAAGGTCTCTTTTGAGAAATCCACTGACAGTCTGATGGGAACTCCTTTGTAGGTGACTGTCTCCTTATCTCTTGCTGCTTCTAGGATTCTCTCCTTCAATTTAATCTTGGCTAATGTAATGATGATGTGCCTTGGTGTGTTCCTTCTTGGGTCCAACTTCTTTGGGACTCTCTGAGCTTCCTGGACTTCCTGGAAGTCTATTTCCTTTGCCAGATTGGGGAAGTTCTCCTTTATTATTTGTTCAAATAAGTTTTCCACTGGTGGCTGTTCCTTTCCCCCTTCTTGTACCCCTGTAATTCGGATGTTGGAATGTTTAAAGATGTCCTGGAGGTTCCTAAACCTCTCCTCATTTTTTTGAATTCTTGTTTCTTCATTCTTTTCTGTTTGGTCATTTTTTTTTCTTCCTTCTGGTCCACTCCCTTGATTTGAGTCCCAGTTTCCTTTCCATCACTATTGGTTTCCTGTGCATTTCCCTTCATTTCAATTAGTTTAGCCTTCATCTGTTGCTCTAATTTGTGACTAAAATCAACCAGGTCTGTGAGCATCCTGATCACCAGTGTTTTGAACTGTGCATCTGATAGGTTGGCTCTCTCTTGGTCACTTAAAAGTATTGGCTCTGGGGCTTTGAGCTCTTCTTCTTCTTCAGCCGTAATATTTTGGTCTGTTCCCACCTGTTATGTGTGAGGGGCGGAGCCTTAGGTGTTCACCAGTGCAAGCCAACCCAGTCACTGGGTTGTGAGGCTGTGTGGGTGGGGTCAGAGAGGGGCAGTGGCGTTTTTTCTGCTCTTTTTTGGATTTCAGTCCCCTCTGCTGCTTCCTGCAAGCAAACCGGGCCCCCCTGGTGCCGGCTCCCGGGTGTGTGGGCTTGTGCACCCTCCAGGACCCTGTGGGTCTCTTCAACAAACTCTCTGTGAGCCTGGGAGCTTCTCCTGGCACCTCGACCCTGAAAGTTTTTCCAATTGGTGCTTTTAGGCTTTAATTCCCATCACTGGGGCCCTAGCCTGCATGGTCTGTCTCACTGCTTGCTCCTTTGCGTGGTTTACCTGAGTGTGAATGTGTGACCACAGTCAGCCAGCCGCCTTGCGCCCCCACTGGGTCTCTCCACTGCCACCTCATGCCTGGGATCTGCCAACTGCTGCAGGCCGGGGCCTGGGTCCGGAACTTTTTTTTCTGCGCGACACCGCTCTGTCCGCCGCTGGCTGCACCCCTTACTGGTCTGGCTAAATGGTTCGTTGTTGTCGGACTTCCATACAGTTTAATTTTCTGTGTTTTGGTTGCATTTTTGTTACTAAAACTTTGTTGTCTTTAAATTTGGTTGTGTGAGGAGGAACAGTGTTTCCACCTACACCTCCATCTTGGCCGGAAGTCCCCTTTCTTCCTTCCTTTCACATGCTAACTCATTTAATACCCTGTGAGGAAGAGGTATTTTTTTATTTTACAGATGAGGAAATTGAGGCAAAAAGAGAGGTTAAATACCTTTCTTGAGGTCAACACATCTCGTATTTGGTAAACACGGAATTCAAACCAGGCAGCCCCATCTTTTAACCACAGTCCTATGCTGCTGTAGTTAATTCTCCATGCTAGATAGACTCTAACTCCTAATAAAATGGACCATGTGCTTGAAAGTTTAACTTATTTCTCTTTTCTGCAGTGACCCTTCTAGGAAGATGCTGTCTCTCTTTTACATGCACAGCTCAGCCGTTGCCTCAGCTTCACCTTTTCCATTTCTTTTACTGTGCCTCTAGTTTGATGGCTTCATAGTTCACTCCCTTGATGTGTTTCTCTTCCTTTTTCTTCTTGCTTTGTTTTAGATAAAATATTCCCTTGTGGTTAGTAAACATGAATAAGAATAATAATGTGGAGATACCAGAAACCATAAAATGATTGCATTTAACTTACTTATGAATGAAGGACCAGTAGGTAGTGTACATTTTTTAAAAATGCCATTTGGCTACCACCAGCACAAAAACTAAAAAAGAAAAGAAAAAGAAAAGAAATTTAAAATGCCATTTGGTTTTACTGATTTTGTTTCGCTTAATTGTTCTTGTACAAAAGATTGTTCTGTTTCCCTTTTACATTTGCTTTTATTTCAACCACTTGATACCTAAGGAGGTATTGTGGTTTGCCTTGGGAACCTAATGACCTTATTTAGCGTGGTTTCTATGGTAGTAGTTGCTGAGTTAAAACCTAAGTTAACAAAATCAATAATTTTGGCATACAATCTCTTGAATCATTCTGTTGCTAGGGCATGTGACTAGGCAATATGCTTGTTGGTAACTTTCATTTTTACTACTAGGGTCCCACAGGAGATACATAAAGTAGGCAAGGTCATTCTTTTCCTCTACATAAATAAAAATAAAAAGAGGAAGGTAGAGGAAGAATAAATTAGTTACAAAATGGAGGTGCACTGTCCGAAGTGATCTAACATGTAAAAATTACGTTTTTAGTTAAAAAATGCCTTGGGTAAGAAACAAAATTTTTTTCTTATGTGTTTTAAAAATAGAGCTAAAGAAATAAAAATCAGAGGTATGATTCTAAAATTTGAAGAGAATTATTTTTCATTTAAAGGAAGATGTAGATTCCTTCATGAAACAGCCAGGGAATGAGACTGCGGATACAGTACTAAAGAAGCTGGATGAGCAGTACCAGAAGTATAAGTTTATGGAGCTCAACCTTGCTCAAAAGAAAAGGAGGTAAGCATAGAAATTTCCAACTTTTAAAAAAATTAATGTTGGGTGGCTTAAACTTTTCAAAAACTGACATGTTGAAATGATAATGTTTTGGGAGAACTGGATAAATAAAATATATTATTAAAACTATTTTTAAAATGAAAATTTAAAAATTGAGCCATAATTTACATACAATGAAATGTCCAAATATTGAATGTTCACTTTAATGAATTTTGACAAATATAGTTACTTTTATAACCATTAACCAGATCAGTATATAGAACATTTCTATTACCTGAGGAAGTTCCCCCCACTGCTTTCTGACCAACCCTTCCCACTCTCAGAGACAATCACTGTTCAGATTATCTTTCCCATGAGTTAGTTTTGTCTGTTCTTGAACTTATATATAAATGGAAGCATTTAGCAACTATTGTTTTTTGGTCAGGTTTCTTATACTTAGAGGAATGCTTTGAGAGTCATCTATGATGTGTGTATTAGTAAATTAGTTTCTCTTTAGTGCTGAGTAATGTTCCATTGTATGTGGATGTACCACAAATTTCATCTGTTTGCCTGTCAATGGACATTTGGGTTGTTTTCCCATGTGGTTTTAAGTCTTTCTATGGATATGTATTTTTTTTCTCCTGGATAAGTTACCTAGGGGTGGAGTTACTGATTTGTATAGTAAATGTCTGTTTAATTTTATGAGAAACTGCCAAATGTCCTCCAAGGTGGCTATACTATATTACATTCCCAGTAATTAAGTTGGGTTCCAGTTGTTCCATATCCTCATCAGCACTTGGTATTGTCAGTCTAAAGATAGTTTTGAAAACATAATAGAATGACTGTTGAAGACCTATTATTTCAAAGCATCTAGGATTATAATATTTTCTATATCTACCTCATTCGTCTCATAGTGCTGATGAGATGAGACACCCACAGATGTTATGATTTTCCCAAGATTTCATAACTAATAGGCATATGACAGAGGTTTCCTTGCTCTTACTCCTTTATTTCTCTATATTTTATAGAAGCTTATAAAGTAAATTTACTATAATAAGTATTTATGGATATCTGGTATGTATATGTACCAGCATTCTACTGTCAGTTAAATATTTATAGAATTCCTAGGAGGTGCCACATACTGTTTTGGGTGAAATAAGGTTCAGTATCTGTTCTCAATAGGGACACAGTCTAAGGGCATGATATGTATGTAAATAAAGTAACTATACAAAGTATAGCCGTTGAAGTGTTCTGATATAAAGTAATGAGTTAGCACAGGGGAAGGTGTCATCTGGAGGGGGACGAGGAGGTTTGGGAGAAGCTTCCTGGAGGAGCAAGTTGCTGTGCAGAATTTTGAAGGCTGGTTATGAGTTTGGAGGCAGAAAAGTAAAGAAGGGTAGTCTGGGCATAAGGTATCATTTATGCAAAGGTACAAGTTTGTTTTTAGATATATTTTCTCATTTGGTTTTAGTGATAATTGGGGAAATGTGAGTAAGGGCTGGGTATTAGGTAAGATGTAAAGTGACCGACATGGACAAATGGAGAGTATTAACTGAAAAACTCAGGATGAAAAACAGTATGAACAATATGCTCTCATTTTGGAAAGAATGTACACAGAAATAGCTGGAAAAATCTGTAATAATGGTCTGTTAACAGTAGTCATCTTTGGGTTTTGGAAGTATGTTGTTTTTCTTATTTTGCCTGTTTGTATTCTTAATTTTCTACAACATTCATGTACTGCTTTTGGAATAAAAGTTTATTTTAAAAAGAAGAATAAGGTCATTGGCTTTGACATCACCTACAGTGAAGTTATAGATAGAAAAGAAAATGGACTTCAGGACTAAGTCCTGGGACAGAGGAGGGAGTTTGCATATCAAAGTTACATTTTTTCAGCCCTGGTCAAGTGGCTCATTTGGTCGGAGCATCATCACATACCCCAAAAGGTGTGAGGTTTCTATCTCTGGTCTTGGGTGCGTATGAGAGGCAGCTGATCGGTGTTTCTCTCACATTGATATTTCTCTCACTCTCTCTGTATCTCGCTTACTCAGATCAATTAATATCTTCTCAGGTGAAGATTAAAAAAATATTGTTCCAGACTACCTCTTGAGACTGGGCTCTTTGAATGACCAGACCTCAGGTGGTTGCCCAAGTTCGAGCTGGTACTAGTTTGCTTCTTACTTTCTTGGCATTATTCTTATCACTTTGGCCCCTCTTGAATCCTAAAACTGAACACCTATAAAGTAAAAGTTATGCTGCTAACTCTAGTACTGTAGTATAGTAGGATATTCACTCCAGGTTCACATATGTTCTAGGCCTCAATGTGAGTGATAAAAATTGTAGTGTATATGTGCAGCCTGTCTAATTAGATGTACTTGGTGAACAAAACAGACAGTCCCTGCCCTTGGAGGGGTTACAGTCTGGTGGGGTCTAGGGAGTAAACATACAATTCAGTACAATTAATACTTACTGTGCAGCTGATTTGGGCCAGGCACCATCCTAGGCCCTTAGGATACATCAGTGAACCAAACAGGTGAGAATTTGTGCCTTCATGGAGCTGACACTGCAACCAGAAGTAAATTATATAGTAGCTTAGAAAGCAATAAGCACTATGGAGATAGGAATATGGAGTAAAGAGGGTGTGGAGTGTCAGAGGTGGTGGGTACTAAGGGTTTTGAGCAGAGGAATGAATGACATGATCTCATTTTCTATTTCTAAGTATTTTTTGACTGTCCTATTACAGTTGTACCATTTTCCCTCTTGGTCCCCTTCTGCCCTGCACCCTCTCCCTCCACCATCCCCCCCTTAGTTCATGTCCAGGGGTCATACATATAAGTTCTTTGGCTTCTTCATTTCCTATATTAACATGCCCCTATTTTGTGCCTACCTTTTATGCTTCTTATTTCCTGTACGTTTTCCCCCATTCTCCTCCTCCTCCTCTCCATTGATAACCCTCCATGTGATCTCCATTTCTGTGATTCTGTTTCTATTCTGGTTGTTTGTTTAGTTTTTGTTTTTTTAGGTTCAGTTATTGATAGCTGTGAGTTTGTTGTCATTTTACTGTGTATAGTTTTGATCATCTTCTTTTTCTTAGATCTAAGTCCTTTTAACATTTCATATAATAAGGGTTTGGGGATGATAAACTCCTTTAACTTGACCTTATCTGGGAAGCGCTTTATCTGCCCTTCCATTCTAAACGATAGCTTTGCTGGATAGAGTCATCTTGGATGTAGGTCCTTGCCTTTTCATGACTTTAAATACTTTTTTCCAGCCCCTTCTTTCTTGTAAGGTTTCTTTTGAGAAATCAGCAGCTAGTCTTATGGGCACTTTTTTGTAGATAACCATCTCTTTTTCTCTTGCTGCTTTTAAGATTCCTTCCTCATCTTTAATCCTGGATAATTTAATTATGATGTGTTTTGGTGTGTTCCTCCATGGGTTCTACTTATTTGGGACCCGGTGACCTTCCTGGACTCGTTTGTCTATTTCCTTAAGCAGATTGGGGAATTTCTCCTTCACTATTTTTTCAAAATAGTTTTCAATTTCTTGGTCTTCCTCTTCTCCTTCTGTCACAACTATGATTCAGATGTTTGCACGTTTAAAGTGGTCCCAGAGGTTCCTCAACCTCTCCTCATTTTTTTGTATTCTTGTTTCTTCATTCTGTTCCAGTTCAATGTTTATTTCTTCCTTCTATTTCAAATTGTTGGTTTGAGTCCCGCTTTCCTTCCCTTCACTGTTGGTTCCCTCTATATTTTTCTTTATTTCACTTTGTATAGTCATCACTTCTTCCTTTATTTTGCACTCAGTCATTTCTGTGAGCATCCTGGTTTTGAACTCTGATAGGTTGGCTATCTCCTCATCGCTTAACTCTTTTTCTGGAGTTTTGATCTGTTCTTTCGGTTGGACCATATTTCTTTGTCTCAGTGCACCTGTCAGGTTGTAAAGGGCGGAGCCTTACATATTGCCAGGAAGAGGCAACTCATTTGCCAGTGTTGTGGTGCTGTATGTGGGGGAGGGGTCAGAGAGGGAACAGTGCCACTTGCTCAGCTGTTGCCCTGTTTTCAGTCACTTACCCACTACCCCAATTGCACCTTTCTGGTGCTGATTCCCAGGTGGGTCAGTTTGTGTATGTTCTAGGACCCCATAGGTCTCTCTAACCAAGTTCCTGTGAGACCGGCAGTTTTTCCTACTGCCACAACCCCCACAGATTTTTACAACCAGAGGTTTTTGAAGCTTTAGTTTCCAATGTTGGAACCCTGGGTTTTGTGGTCTGTCTCATTCCCTAGTTATTCCTCCTGGTTTATCCGCATGCAAATGTGGGACTGCCTGGTATGCCAGGCACCACTTTGCTGGGTGTCCTCTCTGCCCTGGCTTTCCATCTCCGCCCCTCCTGCAAGTCTAGACAAATGTTTCTTCTTTAACTTCTTCATTGTCAGACTTCCATACAGTTTGATTTTCTGGCAGTTATGGTTGTTTTTTGTTTTTAAATTGGTTGTTTTCCTTCTTTTGGTTGTGTGAGGAAATGAAGCATATCTGGCTATGCCTCCATCTTGACTGGAAGTCCTGATTTCTGTTATTATATAACTCACTTGGATTGATAATATCCTTAAAAAGAGCTGAACCAAAGACATTAGTTAGGAGGTCCTTTCAATAATATGGATTCAGTGATGGCATTGGTAGGAAAGAGTCATATTCGGAATCTGCTTTGAAGTTGGAGCCAGCATAATCTGGTGGATTAGAGGTAAGATGTGGAAGGGAGGCATGGAAGATGGCTCCCAGGTCTAAGCAACTGAAAAGGAGAATTGCCATCTAAGATGGAGAAGACTAGGTGGAGCTGGTTTGGGGGAAGATCAGTTCAGTTCTAGGCACATTTAAAATGCCTTTTGGACGTGTAAGTGGAGATGGTAGGTGGGCAGTTAAGTATATGAGTCTGAATTTTGGAAACCATCTGTGCTGTGTTTAAAAATTTGGTAGTCATTTAAAGTTGATTGAGCTTCATCACTAAGAGAATGCATATAGGGGGAGAGATCAAAGATCTGGGCACTCACTGCAACAGTAAGAAGTTTGGGAAAAGAGTGATAACCACCAAACAGACTGAGAAGAGTTGGCAGTGAGGTCAGGTAAGCCAGGAGACCATAGGGTTCTGGAAGCCAAGCTTAAGAGAATGTATCTTGGAGAAGGGAATGATCATGTGCTGTGTCAAATGCTGCTGATGACTCAAATAAAATATAAGGACTGAGAATGGACATGGACTCAGCAAAGTGGAATTCATTGGTGTTCTGGTTGGGAACAGTGTCTAGTGCTTAAATAGAAAGGGCAGAATTGGAGAAAATGCATATGGAGAACTTTAGAAAAATTTAATTCATTTTAGTAGTGGATTGGTTATCTTTTTTGTGTGTCAGAATTTTTTACACATTGAATACTAATCCTTTTAGGTTATATGTGTGAGAAAGTTTTCTTCCTTTTAAAATTTATTACTTTTCTTTCCTTGTGGTTTATTTTGATTATACCAGGAGGGTCAAACTCCTTTTCACCGGGGGGCAACATCAGCCTCGTGGTTGCCTTCAGAGGGCCGAATGTGATTTCAACTCCTTAACAGTTAAGGAGTAGCTACATGTATATGGTTCTAAAATTATTTTGGCCCTTTGAAGGCAACCTTGAGGCTTATGTGGCCCCCAGAGAAAATGAGTTTCACACCCCTGGATTAGATGTTCTTAATTTATATGTTTTCGGTCAGAATTTCCCTTAATGATTAGTGCTTTTGGTGTCTTGTTTAAGAAATCCTATCCTGTATTTCATGTTCAAAAAGATAAACCCCTATATTTTCTAAGAATTATAAAATTTTGCTCTTCACATTTAGCTTCTTAATTCATCTGAAATTTATTTTTACATACGGTATGTAGTAGCCTTTGATTTCTTCTTTTTTTAAATGGGTATGCCGTGGACATACTGTATGACTTGGTACCATTTAATTTTTATTTTAAAATCCCAGCTGTGATCTAAATACCCTTTATAAAGTCCCATTTAACAATCTTTTTCCTTAATGGTTAGCTAGTGCTTTTTATATTCTGTTTAAGAAATATTGGCCTATCCCAAGTTCATGAAGATACTCTCTTAATGTTTTATTCTTAAAGCTTTATTGATTTATCTTTTATATTTAGATCTATAATCCATGGGTTATTCAGAAATGTGTTGCTAAATTTCAAAGCATTTGTGGTATTTTCAAGCATGTTTCTCTGTTCTTTCTACTTACTATACAATGATAGTTGGACATATCTTCTCGATCATATTAAGGCTTTTTGGCAACACTTCTTCATAAGTTTATGTGCTTTTCCATTAAGAGACAGATAGTATCTAATTGTCCCTTTTTATGATACTCAATGCCTAGATCCATTAATTATTAATTGCAAAATGATGATGTTCTAATTCAGTTCTTTCTTTTTTATTTATTAATAAACTGGTATATTTCTATGAAAAGAGATGTCCACTCATGTACTATTCGGTAAAAGTGGCTGTAGGAAATCAGCTCACCTTTCAGTTTCTCCCTTGAAGGAGTCTTAGCCCTGTAGGCCTATCAGCTCAGCAGCTCTCTGCTGCCTTCCAGCACAGGAGGTGTACTATATTTTTTGGACCATAAAACATGCCTAGGTTTTAGAGGAGGAAAATAGGAAGAAAAAAACTTTGAAGCAAAAAATGTGGTAAAATATTTAATGACATAAATAACATAATATTTCACCAATGTAAATATAAACAGAACTCAACAGCAGCATTAACAACCATTATTCCTCCCAAGTGGGGGTGGGATGTGCGTGTTATAGCCCCCAAATATGTTATTCTGTATTTGATCAGTTAGAAGTGGAAGTACCGGTCTGTTGCCATCTTAACCTGAAACAACTTTTATTTTTTAAAAATACTTTTTAGTCTATCTTATTTAGGTGCATGCAATATCTATGTGCAGGTTTTGTGTTGACATAAGTATTCAATTCCTTTGAGTAAATACCAAAGGAATGTGATTGCTGGATTGTATGGAAAGAGTATGTTTTGTTTTATAAGAAACTGCCAAAGTGTCTTCCAAAGTGGCTGTATCATTTGCATTCCCACCCAGCAATTGATGAGTTTCCATTGCCAGCAGCATCCTCACCAGCATTTGGTGTTGTCAGTCTTCCAGATTTTGGCTGTTGTGATAGGTGTGTAGTGGTATCTCCTTGTTGTTTTAATCTGCATTTCCTTGATGGCATATGATGTGGAACATCTTTTCATATGCTTATTTTCCATCTGTGTATTTTCTTTGAGATGTGTTTGTTAAGGTCTTTGGCCCATTTTTAAATCAAGTTGCTTGTTTTCTGATTGTTGAGCTTCAAGAGTTCTTTGTATATTTTGGGTAGTAGTCTATTTTATCAGATATGTCTTTTACAAAGACTTTCTTCTAGTCCTGTGGCTTGTCCATTCTCTTGACAATGTTTTTTGCAGAGCATTAAGTTTTTAATTTTAATGAAGTCCAGCATATCGATTATTTCTTTCATGAATTGTGTCTTTGGTGTTTATCTAGGAAATCGTCACCACACTCAAGTTTATCTAGCTTTTCTCCTGTGTTACCTTCTGGGAGCTTTATAGTTTTATATTTTGACATTTAGCTCTGTGATTCATTTTGACATAATTTTTGTGAAGTGTATTGCGGGGGCAACTTTCCTCACAAGTCCCCTAGTCCGCCAGGGATGAAAGTAAACAAGACATGACAGGATCTGCTTGGGGAGGAGATGTGGCCAATCCCTCGAGAGGGAAGGGCTGTGAGCAGTGGCCAGTTTCTCAGGGGAAAAAAGGCCTTGAGCAGTGGCCAGTTTCTTGGGGGGAAAACGCGTTGAGCCCCTTCCTCCAAGGGCTTTTATTGGGTTGTAATACACAGGAATACAGGGTGGCAAGGGTCAAACAGTAGATAACATTTCAAGGAAATCTGAGGTCTTAGTCCGAGTCAGTGTCAGGAAGAGAGTTTTAGGGTTTCCCTGCTCAAACCCTTATCATATGAATGAAAGCACTCTTAGCAAAGCAGATTTCACAGGTTTTTCAGGAATTCTTTGTGATGCCAGATTTTTCCCCTGGACATACTCTAGCAAGGCAAGTAGCTGTACCCCTCCCCATCAGGTATTTAGGTTTAAGGGAATTAGAACCAAGAAGGGGACTCCTGCTATCTCACATAGCCAGGAGGCATGAGTCCATTGTTCGCTCTTTGTTGCAGCCCCCCCCCCCCCAGTCCTTCCATGAAGTGGTCAAGTCTGGCTTAGGTTGCTCCCTGCTGTGAGGAGACTTACACTGCTTTGGGGGCAGGGAGAGGAAACAGGCAGCATTTGCTACCAGAGACAAGCTTTGTCTCCTGTGACTCACATTCCGGAGGTCACTCACAGCCTTAGCCACTGGGGGAGGGGGCGGGGAATTAGGGTTACAATTCCTGAAACCAGGCAGAGCTGTCCACAATAGTGTATAAAGTCTGTCTAGATGCATTTTGTGTGTGTGTGTGCATGTCCAGTTGTTCCAGGATAATAGTTTTGTTAGTAAGTATAATGAGTTACCTGTTGTGTGTGATCAGTCCCATCATACCATCCTCATTTTCTTAAATTTCTATGTGCAAATCAATAATCCCTTTATAATTTTAAGAACAGTTGTTACTTAACTTGAAAATAAAATAGCATTTATCAACTTAAAAGTTAAAGAAAAATTACACAAAGCTTAAAAGAATCACTAAATTATACTTTATCATAATGTGGTGTGTTACTCATTTAGGTGATATTCTGCATTTCTCACAGTGTGACAGATGCAAGTACTGAGAAGCTGTCACTGTGCTTTGCTGGCATTTAGCTGACTGTGATGTGTGTGTACTGAGTGCAGTCACCAGGAGCAGCTACATTCAGCACTAGATAGAGAGTTGGTGATTTCCAGTTGTTTTGAATTTAGAATATAATATTTGAATGCATGTTATTTTAAAAATTAATTTATTTAAAATTCAGTTCTAATAAAATATGGAGCCTTCGAATCATATTTGTGAAATATGGTTTCCTCTAGGAATGTTAAAGAATGATGGGGTATTCGACATATAGAAAGGGGCTTTGTGTATAGTAGGCATTGCATAAATATTTGCTATTTTATCTGAAATATTTGCTATTTACTGAAATATGAGTATTTCAGTAAATATTTATATCTTAAATATCTGAAATATATTAGATGTTTTAATAAACCACATGTATTAACTTTATCTTAAAAATGAATGCCTTAAATGTTTTATATTTGTAAATAGTCCTCAAGAACATATCAATAGAAATGGAATGAGCCAGTCAGTGAAAGACAAATACTATATAATCTCACTTATATGTGGAATCTAAAGAACAAAATAAACTGATGAGCAAAATAGAATGAGAGGCACAGAAACATGGAACAGACTGACAGCTGCAAGAGGGGAGGCAGGGGCTTGTTGAAAAAAGGTGAAGGGATTAGCCAAAGGACATCTATGCATGAACCATGGGTACAGACAACTGTAGGGATTGCCTGGGGAAGTTGGGTGGAGGGGGGCAAATAGGGGAAATTGGGACAACTATAATAGTGTAAACAATAAAATATAATTAAAAAAGAAAATGCAAGGCTTGTAAGACTGTGTTCTGGTGTCTGTTTTTGCTGCATAATACTAAATTAACCTCTTTTCTTATTCACAGGCTGAAAGGCCAGATTCCTGAAATTAAACAGACTTTAGAAATTCTGAAATACATGCAGAAGAAAAAAGTAAGTATATTTTTGTTTGTGAATGTGAATGAGCTAGGATACTTGGGCAGAGATGTGTCTTCCTTGACTCTTTGGTCACTGGTATTTCAACTGTGCTGGAAGATTCAGTCAGCCTTCTTGAACATGTATAGTAATGTTATAGACAGTGTGCCTCCATGATAAATGTGGTTTTGTGCCCCCCCCATCAGGTTTAATTCTAGGGCCTATACGTCTTAGATTATTTTATTTATATGTAGTATTTATAAAATTTTAATGCAATTTGAAATTATTTTAGATACAAAAAGATGTCTTATTTTGAAGTAGCAGTATCTAAGGGTTTTGTTGTTGTTACTGTTCTCCCTAAGAATAAAGGAGTGAATCCAAGAGTTATAGAGTTGGAAAGAATCTTGGAAATTATGTTATAGATTCTTATTTAACAGTTGAGGATACAGTTACAGAGAGGTTACACTTAACCAATGTTGCATAGCTAGTTACTGGCAGAACTGGATTTGAGAATCTTCTGAGCCTTAATCTAATACTCATTAAGTACAAGCAGACTGTAAAGATACAATTTCATAAGGATATTGTATTTAAAAAATTGCATGTGTGAATATATATGATTTATTACTTGACTGGTAGAATAACTACATTTCTAGTACATTATTTTATTTTTTATTTTTTTTTAGGGAGAGGGGAAGGGAAGGAGAAAGAGGGAGAGAAAAAATGGATTGGTTGCATGTGTCCCAACCAGGGACCATACTCGCAACCTAGGCATATGCGCTGGCTGGGAATTAAACCAACCAGTAACTTTTGCTTTGTGGAACAATGCCTAGCCAACTGAGCCACACCAGTCAGGGCTCCAGTACATTATTTGATGTGCTGAACTTTGTAAGAGACTTCAGAATGCTGGTTGGTTGGGCATGAAGCACTCATGAAGTAATAATAAAAGCTAACTCTTGTGTAGTGCTTGCTCTGTATCAGGCACTGGTATGTCAGCTGTGTTTGTGTTGGCCTTCAGAGGTGTAGAAACTATTATTATTTGTGTTTTACAGATGAGGAACCTGAGACACAGAGAGGTTAAGTGATATTCCAACTTTACACAGGTGTAGGCAGTTGATCCAGAATCCATGTCCCTCCATGCCCAGCCATATGGCTCCAGGCATTCATTTCTTTTACCACTATACGTAGTTTGCATGATGGTACTGATTTAAATGGCTTAGGTTCAGCTGTGAGCTCTCTCCTTTATAGCTTTGGTGTTAAACTCATCTGTTTACAGTACTGTCATTTTTTTAAGGAGTCCACCAATTCACTGGAGACCAGATTCTTACTGGCAGATAACCTGTATTGCAAAGCTTCAGTTCCTCCTACTGATAAAGTGTGTCTGTGGTTGGGGGTAAGTAAACGTAATAGCCACAGCTTCCTTGGCTGACATTTGTTTTTCCCAGCAAAACAGTATTATTTCAGTTGTGTAAATGGTCATTCCCTTTGACTGTTGAAGGTGGGGTGGAATTCAAGTAGTCCATATTAGAAACTGACTGAAATTAGGAGTGTGATGAAGACTGCCACAAAAACATGCTCAAACCTTCCAAATAAATAAAACTGACCAAAACCCTAATTCCCTTGAACTAATGCTTTATCTCTTATATGTAACAGAAGGAAGAGCAATCAGTAGAAGTAAAATAGAAGGTACCGTTGAACCTCAAATAAATGTTTCTTCCCAGTAGGAGTTTATAAATTCTAGAAAGATCTTTCTAAACTTAAGGGAGAAAAGATTATTACCAAAAACTTGGAGATTGGAGTCTGCTTCTTTTCTTTATTTTTAAAGATGTGTTTGTTTGTTTGTTTATTTTTAGACAGAGGGGAAGGGACGGAGAAAGAGTAGGAGAGAAACATCAGTGTGTGGCTGCCTCTTGAGTGCCCCTACTGGGGACCTAGCTCACAACCCAGGCACGTGCCCTGACTGGGGATCGAACCGGTGACTCTTTGGTTTGCAGGTCAGCGCTCAGTCCACTGAGCCACACCAGTCAGGGCTGGAGTCCACTTTTTAAAGTATACATTTCGATTTTAGTGTATTTCATAGATCTTGGCTTTGATTTTTTTCTGTCTTACTCTTCTCAGTTCCTTAACCAAGCCGATTCTGACTTTCTAGCTTTGCATAGGTCTTGTTACCTCAGGCAAGTTCCCACTCAAAGTAGAAAGTCATGTGGACCTCTTCCAGCTTTCTCCACCAGGAGGACTTCCCCTTGCTGCCATTCTATTGAATCACCCCTGAGAGACATTTTAGTGCCTTGAAAGATGGACAGCTTAGTACATGGAAACTCACTTCTCTATCATTTAGTTCCTCTGGATTTTTGTTCGTTGTAATATTTTCGGAGTTTGTACATTTAATTCTATACCATAATTCTCATACTTGTTTAGTTTTAGTTCTGTAAATGGAACTGCTATTCACCCAGTGGCTCAAATCCTAGGGGTCATTCACCTTGGTTTCTCTTCCCTCCACCCACATTCCATCAGCAGATGTGGATAAGATGATTCCATAAATTAGACTGGGACAACAGGGAACTCTCTGGTAAGAATTATGGCTGGAGCCCACCACACATCTCACACCAGGATGAATTCCGCATGGGTCACATACTTACATGAAACACACTATCAAAGTTTAGGTCAAGTCATAGGTGACTTATTTTGTAACCCTGAAATAGTAATATATTTTTTAGGCCACAAAAATGAGAAATAATAAGCAAAGCCAAAAGACAATTAGAAGGAAAAACATTTGTGACTCATATTGCAGCCAAAGACTAATAAGGTTTGCAGAGTGACTGCAGTTGTGTTGTGGCCATGTCAGTCTTGAGATGCCTATTAGACAGTCAAGTGGAGAAGCTGATTATTTGAGGAGTGATTCAACTAAGGAGAAATGTTTGGCATAGGGTACTTCCTGAAGAAAGATTGATTTTTTTTTGACATGAATGAAATGTTTTTAAATGTATTCTATTTTTTCTTGTTAAAAGTAACCAAACAGCAGAAATTTTCTGGGGAAAAAAATAATAAGAAACTGCAGCAGTTGACTCTGAGGAATGAGATTGTGGGTCTGGGATTGGAAGGACATGTACTTTCCATTGAATTTTTTTTGTCCTGTGTGAATTTTTACAGTTTTCTAATGATCATGGATTGCATTGTTCGGTTAATAAGTATTTTTGCAGCACCTACTTTGTGCCAAACACTTTCATTTTGTCTTATTTGATTCTTACAACAATCCTTTGAGTAAATTTTAATTTTCATTTGTCCGATGAGGAAAGTGGTTCAGAAAATGCTCTGTAGTAAGTCAGGTGGTAAGAGTTCAGACTGGGAAAGGTATGGTTCCCCACCTCCAGAGTACATGGATCCCCAAGTGTTGGTAGTGACACCAGCTCTTCTGAATGCCAGATGGAGTCACCTTGCCTTTGCCCCTAGCATCTGTTGGAAGTAGGGGGAGGGCAGTAAAAGCTAGCTACTTTTCTTTCTTTTTTTTTTTTTTTTTAAATTTTATTTAGTTACTTTTCAAGTACATTTTTTTTTCTCTTCCCCCCCCCCGCCCGGTCTCCTCCCTCCCTCCCATTCCCCCCCCCAGTCCTCATCTCTGTGTCTTTCATACTTGTTCCTCAAAAGCTACTTTTCTTTCTTTGAAAGTTATTTATTTATTTATTTATTTATTTATTTATTTATTTATTTATTTATTTATTTAATTTATAGAGGAGGGAGGGAGAAAGAAAAAGAGAAAGAAAGAAAGAAAGAAAGTGGTTGCCTCTTGCATGCCCCCAGCATGTGCACTGATTGGGAATCGAACCAGTGACTCCTTGGTTCACAGGCTGGCACTCAGTCCACTGAGCCACACCAGCCAGGGCAAGCTAGCTATTTTTCTTTTTCTTTTTCTTTAAAGATTTTATTTATCTTTAGAGGGGAAGGGAAGGAGAGAAGGGGAGAAATATCAATGTATGGTTGTCTCTCATGTGTCTCCTGCTGGGAACTGGCCTGCAACCGAGGCATATGCCCTGACTGGGAATCGAACCATGATCCTTTGGTTTGCAGGCCCGTGCTCAGTCCATTGAGCTACTCCAGCCAGGGCTTCTATTTTTCTTATTGGATCAAATGTAGATGTATTTGAGAACTTTTAAATTACAGTATATTAAACTCAAACAACTATTTAAATGGATTCAAATATAATACTATTTAGTATCATGATGGACTTAATAAAAAGATAGGATTTGGTATCTAAACATACTTGTTTCATCCTAATTCTCCCATTTACTTACTAGCTATACAAGCATAAGCAACCTGAACTCTCTTAACCTGTTGTTTTTTTTTTAACTGTGAAGATAAAGATAACTGGCCTCAGCAGGGTTGTTAGGAGGAGTAAATGATATAATGTATGTAAATATATTCTCTAACCCCAGGGTCAATAGACTTTTATAAAAGGCCAGAGAGTAAAAAATATTTTTGGTTTTGTAGACCACTTGGTCTCTGTTGTAGTACTCAGCTCTGCCACTGTGGCATGGAAGCATAAGCGAGTGGAGAATACCTGAGTTCCAATAAAATTTAAGACAAAAGGCAGCCAGCTGGATTTTGCCTAAGGACTATAGCTTGCCCAGACCCTGCTCTAACCTGTAAAGCACTATGCAAATGTTTAGTAATTGTCATTACTTTCTCTCTTTAGGCTAATGTAATGCTTGAATATGATATTGATGAAGCTCAGGCATTGCTGGAAAGGAATTTATCAACTGCCACAAAGAATCTTGATTCTCTTGAGGAAGACCTTGACTTTCTTCGAGATCAATTTACTACCACAGAAGTCAGTATCCTTTCTTTAAAAAGAAACAAAAGGAAAAGATAAAGATGTTGTTAACATTCTTATTTGCATTGCTTTAATGAGAAGAATATCCTTTATTCTTAGACTAGTCAGTCTTATCTCATGCCACTGACTTCTTTCTGCCCTGGCCCTCCCCCTCTGTGCACCCTAGATTCTAGGTAATCTTCATCAGTTATTCTTCCTAAGCCCCCCAAAGTGCCATGCCCTTTGCATTTTCTGACTTTGTCCCTCCTACCTGGAATGATTTCCTATTTACCCGGGTCACTTTTTATCCTTCATATTTCAGCACAAGCATCAGAAACATTTCTGAATTTTAACTCTCGCAGGGCATTTTGTTGTTCCTCTGTGCTTACTCAGCACTTTGCACATCGCTCTTTATTTGGTTTCCTCATCAGACTGAGAGCTCAAGTGTAGAATCTGATCTGTACTTTCTCTTCTCCACAGCATGTGGCACAGGGTAGGCATTGAATGCTTGGGCCAGGGAAGGCAGGTCTGTCTGAGGCCTTGAGTGAGGGTGGTGTGTGACTGTAATGTAAAGACTTTGTCCAGAGGGTAAGAAAAACCTATGTATTTCCTAGAAGGTAACATAAAAAAAACCTAGATGGTCTTGAGTATGATGATGACTTTTTGGATACAATGCCAAAGTCACGATATGCAAAGTGCTGCCTGTGGAAAGGAAAATATGTAGGTGCTTAATAAATTGAGTGAATGTCCTGTTAAGCCAAAGGGAAGGTGAAAGATAAAATTATTGATAATTGTACTAATTTAAATATTACACATCGTGATGTGGTTTGAACGTTCTTTGAAGTTTTGTGGATGTGGGGCTGTCTTTAAAACTTGACAGTGTCAAGTACATATTTGTTAAATATAATACCATAGTTGATTACATATGCTAAACAATTGTTGATTTGATGCCTTGACTTCATTTTGGTGGAATTTAGTTCAAATAATTGCTCAGCAAATGATATTACAGTAAGATGGCTCACAACACTACTTGTCCCCAGTATTTTGTGTGTGTGATTTATGCCTTTGATTCAGTGTGTGAGTTCATACTTAGTAACTGCATCTGTTATCTTTAGAATTGCATTTGCATTTTCTTTGACAATTCTTGCAGACATGGCCAGGGTTTATAATTGGGACGTAAAAAGAAGAAACAAAGATGATTCTACCAAGAACAAAGCGTAATGCTGGCAACAAAAAATGTGGTTCAGTTTTCCAAACATGTTCTTTTAAATACTCCAAAGTTTATCCTTACAGGTTAACATAACTTTGAATGATTTTTTAACAATAAGAATGATAATTAAAACTTTAAGAAAAGATAAACACCGTTTTATTTATTTATAAAAACAAAATTAGTTTCAAATATTTTATGAAATTAGCAGGATTTTTATTTGTTTTGCATTTCCAGCAAAGTAAATGCAACTTTCATCATTTTTTTGTTTGTCATAGGAAAAGTCTTAGTTGAAATGACTAAAAACTAATGTATGCTGTAGAAGCTGAATTCTGGACACTTTAGCACAGTTTACTTTTTCTTTATTAGCTGATGTTACTCTCCCTTGATATGGTTAAACCAGTTTAGAGGTAGGAAAAAGTCAGTTTGAATATTTGCCAACCTGCTTTTCTTTTAGTATATGTGGGGCTTTATGGTCCTCTGTTGCCATTATTTGTCCTGTGTAAGTGGAGTTTCACGAAATACTGCTTAGCCAATAACTATTTATTATAATATTCTATGCTCTTCAGGAAATGGTCATTTGCCTTCCTAAACCTTAAGAGGGCTATTGAGACAACATTTTTTCTTTTCTATAAGTGCACAGTGTCTTTGCAATGCCAACATCAAGAAGTTTTCAGCCAATGTGCAGTAACAAAATTACCCACTCAAAACTCTTGGCTAAGGTGATTTTGTATGTCCGGGTAGTTCTCATAGCAGCTGAACAGGAATATTGAGGTAAATTAAAATCTGCAGTGGTTGAAAAGACTTGTGAGGTTTTTTTATCCAGGATAAAACCTTATTAGGAGTTGTAGAAAATCCCCATGGAAAGCTATTGGTACAGTTGGCTAGTAGTGGGTGATAGAGATTCTGGTTAAAACAGATGTATTCCATCTCTGTGTAATAAAAAGTATACTTGTACGTATTTTGTGCTTGTATTTCATGATATTAAAAGTGAAGTTAAAACTGGTATGGCACTTTTTCCATGTTATTTTTTTTCAAAATTAACATGGGTATTTTCACATATTTGTGAAGTTTATTTGCTTGTCCATATAAGTTGCATGTCCCAAGAACTTCTTATGTTTGTAAGAAAAAACCTAAAATCCCATTGGAAGGAATGCAGATAAGGAAACATTTGAGAAGTTAAATCTGAAGGACACCAAAGTTCTTGAGTTAGTTTTTCTTTCATAATTTAAAATTCCCATGTTTTAGAATTTGAGGTTTGTAAACATTTTGAAATATTGTGAGCAATGCTTTTCCTCAAACTTTACTATGGTAAGTATATAGGTACAAAATTTCTTCACTAATATTAGTACAAGAATCATTTGCTCAAATCTTTCTTTTCTTTTATTTTTAAGAGTGGGAGAGAAACATCAACGTGTGGTTGCTTCTCATGTGTCCCCTACTGGGGACCCTGCCCGAAACCCAGGCATGTGCCCTGACTGGGAATCAAACCCACGACCCCCTGCTTCATAGGCTCATGCTTAATCCACTGAGCCACACCAGCCAGGGCTCTTTTTTTTTAAGATAGATTTATTTGTTTGTTTGTTTGTTGACAGAGTAGAAGGGAGGGGGAGAAACATCAGTGTGTGGTTACCTCTCACATGCCCCCTACTGGGTACCTGGCCCACAACCCAGACATGTGCTCTGACTGGAAATCAAACCAGTGACCCTTTGGTTTGCAGACTGGTGCTCAATCCACTGAGCCATGCCAGCCATGGCAAGATCTTTATTTTCTTTAAGTCTGTGAAATTTGAGATGAGAATTTGTAGGTATTCCAGACAATATAAAGAGACACCACTCTTTAGAAATATGAATAAAACAGCCAAAATTAAGTTAATTATTCAACAAACATATAAACACCTAGTATGTTTCAGGAACAGTGTTAGGCTGTCTTAAGTAAAAGAGAGAGATTTAAATTCTGCCTTAGCCAAATTGTTTCTCTCATAATGTTTTACATTTTCAGAATAATATAACCCAATTTGACATGTTTTCAAGTTTAATTGTAATATTTGTATAATAGACCTATCAAAGATAATGGGCAAAAGATTTTGACTATAAAACTAGATATTGGGTAACATGTATTGGAAATGCAGCAAATTTAACTGTTTTCCATTACAAAACAGATGTTCATTTGAGAAAATTTAGAAAATGGGGAAAAGATTTTGTTTCACTTGTAGTTCCCCCTAACATTCTGTCTTCCATTTCTTTTTCTATGCATTAGTTTTTATAAAAACATAATTGAAATATTTTTCTGTGTAATTTTTATCCTTTACTCACCACATGGAATTTGCTTATCGCATAGTGCTATAACATTAACCTTTTACTACTTGCATAATAGTCAAATTGATGAGCCTATAGTAAACTATAATTCACAGTTAGACATTGGGTGGTCTTAAAATTTTTTCTCTATTATTAGTGACAACTAATTCAATTTATTTTTACATAAGACGTTATATTTAGGCTTTTGTCCCTGAGACTAGATTACCAAAAATGTACTTAGGAAGTTAACAATTATAGATAGCATTTTATTTTGGGGGGTTAATAGAGTAGTTTTGTCACAAGCAACAGCAGGGGCTGATGGAAAACACAATTCATCATCCCCACTACCCCTACCCTCCTCTACCATGTGGATACCAGTGGCTACAGAGGGAAGGACCATACAAGGCTACATAACCAGCAAGAGACCCAGATCTAGCTCCTGAATGAATTTCCCTCCCTCTGTACCATGATGCCTCCCTCCCTCCTTTATTTATAACTTAAGTTTGGTAAAAATATTAACTTCAGTCCTTTAGTGAATGAACATTCTGTAGGTTGCCGTTCTCCGCCCTCAACTTCAGATAAGTGTCTTAAACCATTTCTTAAAGGTTTGTCTTGGTTGGTTCTAATGCCATACCCTTTTGATAGCCATGCCTGTGCCTATTCCATACTAATGTGGTATTGTGTTGTCTCTGAAGACCCTGCCAAGTACACACGCAACTCCTATCACAGTTGGCGCTGCATTCAACTACATACACATTTAAACTCCTAAGACCTGGATAGGCCATGTGTGACACCAGTTTACTCTGGAGGACATGAGAAGGCAAGACACCATGACGGTGCAGCTTTAGGCATAGTTCCTATGTGGGAATTCTCACAACGGTCTCCACAGACTACACAGATGGGTGCAGGAACCCCCTGGCTTAGAAGCCCTAAGGGACCACCTCATAACAGTCTCCTGTGTACAGCAGCCCCATATCCTAACTAGGGACAGGTCCCAGGAACAACAGGTACATTGCACCTGGGAAGCTAGAGCTGTGACTCCTAGCAGGTATGAGCACTCATTGCCTTACCAGCTTGGACACAAGGTGTACCACTCGGCATTTTACCAGAATCAAGCCCTCCTGGTCACACTGCTGATGGTCCATGTTCAACACGTTTCTAAGGAAACTGAGCTAGAAACCTAATTCAAGGTCAGTTTGTCATCTCAAAAGGAGAGAGGGGTTTTGGTACACCTCTCATAGTTTGTTGAATCTTGTGTAATCATAGCCCAGTTTTGGATAATGGTTTACTTACTTTTCCAGTTCCATTTATACAAGCCCCCTAGGTAATAACTACTCTGCAAAAAATATATATAGCAATAGTTCATGTGTTTTAAAGGGCTGGATGGAAGCATTTCTCTCCATGTAAGGTGAAAGTAAGGCATCACCTGGGAAACCCAAGTAGTCTCCAAAGTTTCATAATTATACAATGGATTGGAGATGTCATAAACTTAGTGAAACTATTTGTGACGTAATTGCAGAGTGACTTTTTAGACATGTGGCCACAATTGATAAAATTTCTCATTTTTTACACTTTGGGTATTTTATAATTACAACCAGTATCATAAAAGAGATGGGCCTACTAATGAACCATATTTTCTATATATTAATACTCTTCTGGCCCTAAGGAGTACTGCTTAAATGAGCAGTTGTGAGAAGAAACCAGTTTGAGACTGGAAGGGTTTGAGGCTGGAGAAATTGGTTAATGTGTTGTGTGCACAGAGCTGCTTTTCTTGTTTTTGTTATTTATCAAAAAGCTGTCCCGGGGTTCTATGTGCACCTGAAAACTCAAGTGAGAATTGTGCCTTAAGGAACTTTTATTTGTGCCCCTCTCTCTTGTCTGATATATTTGGTTGCAGGCACATTGAACAAAAAAGCATGGACCTGGTGTGCACAGTATATTTGAGCAGTTTTGTTTATAAAGGACCATGCCTCTTGGCCATGGTTTTCAAATATTTTTATGTTTAGTTAATTGCGTGACAACTCTATTTGCCTTTTGGGAATATTTTATTTGGAGGTAGTCTATAACCAAATAGGAAATTTCTTTTCAATTTTTTTAGCTCCTCAAGTAAACCCATCTTAGACTGAATCAGCTTATTTTCTCCAGATCAAACCTGTGGATTCTAGAGAGAAAAAAATATACAAACATTAAAAAGCATGCCCTGGCTGGCGTGGCTCAGTAGATTGGGTGCCAGCCTGCAAACTGAAAGATCTCTGGTTCGAGTCCCAGTCAGGGCACATACCTGGGGTGGAGGGCGTGCAAGAGGCCACCAATCACTGTATCTCTTGCACATTGATGTTCCTCATCCTCTCTCCCTCCCTTCCCCTCTCTAAAAAAGGGGGGAAAAGGTCAGCACATAACAATTTCTTAATATTCACATCCTCAGTTACTTCAGCCCATGTCTGGCCTGGATTGGGCAGTAACTTCTCAGGTAGTCCAGAGGCAGTTTAAGAGTTTATTTTTAATTGACCCTAGATACTTAACTTCAGCTCTTCTGTAACAGTTGATTGTAGTACCAGAGCAAAGTGACAGTGCTTTTCATTATCTGTTGAATATTTGGTGTCACACTGAAACACACCAGTGTTTGGCTAAAAAGTGGGCTGTGGTTGCCCTTCTCCACTTGGTCCTCGCCTACCTCAGAGGTGACCAAGGTCTAGAACTGACCTTGGCTTTCTGGCTAGAGTCTGCAAGTCAGATGACAAGGAAAGAAGATACTGGAGAAAATAAATTTTATACTAGGGAAGGAGTAGTCAAGTTCCAGTACAATAAAGATGGCCATGGAAAAACAAAAGGCTGGAGGAACATGGGAATTTCGCCCTGGGGCTGGGTAGAGGCAGGGCAGGCAAGCTGGGAACTAAAGCATGGAACCCCTTCCCTTCCTCCCTGCTCCCTATCATACCCCCTTCCTTGACACTCCACCTATCCCACAGGTAAAAGTTGGATACAGTAAGAACTTCTGAAAGTATATAGGACCCAAACTGGTTCTGGGAGAAATTCAGATAACTAGTAACTCTAGAGAAAATTACTCATTCATAGTAAACAGTAACCAAGGAATCGGCACGTTCTCCATGCCACATCTATACATTGTCAGCCTGTGTTTATAGCCCCATGGTGTTAGGCTTTTTTTTCTAGGCAAGAGGAATCTGAATAGCGGGAGGAGAATCATAACTATAATGCCCTCTGGTCAACTGCTTTGCTGTCAGCAGGAGCACATTGGGCTGTATTTTAAGTAAACTAAAAAACGAAAAAAAAAAAAAAGAGAAAAAAACTCTACAGTGGCTCAGTTGGTTGGACATTGTTCCACAAAGCGAAAGGTTGCCGGTTTGATTCCCAGTTGGAACAGGTGCAAGAGGCAACCCATCAACGTCTGTCCCTCTCACTTGTTTCCCTCTCTGGAAAAAGAAATAAAAGTTAAAACACCTTTTTAAAAAAGTTTAAAAAACAAAAAAGAAACTTTCATATGGGACTTCCTGAGTGCCGCCCCAGCCTATGGCACCTTCTGTTAGCAGGTTGCCCTTTTTCTGCACCTGTCTCCCTGGGTGTCCCAACAATCTGGCTCATCCTCCTCATCTCAGCCTCCAGCCCTGCCATAACTGAAACATTGGGAGCATCATAAACATTTTTGGGCAATGTGTGGGAGCATTTTTAACATCCCTGGGGCACTTCAGT